GTTGATGCAGTTAAATAGCTCTTATCAATATGTTTCAGCATATGAAGTTTGATAAAAATACCTTGAACAGTTTCTTTTAAATTGAGCTAAACACAAAGTGTGATGAAAGGACAGAAGGATGGAAGGACAGAAAGACAGAAGGGTGGAAAGAAATGTAAAGGGATGTCCTAAAAGGTACATAATACTTTCCAGATACATGTATATGCATAATATTTTTTCTTCTTCTTTTTGAGTTATAAAATTACAATAGATTCTCTAATGATATAACATGCTGTGCAGAGAGTAAAATAGTCAATATGAAAGTTAATAGTTCTTCTTGGTTGCTTATAACGTTTCTGAACTTTCTAACAAGAACAATTTATTCTGAAACAAAAAAACTAGTGAGCCTTTTCAATCATCTGATTATTACCAGTCACAGGGTAAAACAATTGACAGAGCTGTTGATTCCTTGAGATGGTGAGGCTGAATACAAAATATGACAGAACTACGCATATAAAATAGCATGATACTGTGATATTTCTTTGATATACTAAGTCAGTGGCGGGGAAGACCGCTGGCCCAACGTGGAGGAGAAAATCAATATAAACAGAAACAACTTTGTGTGCAATGGTCATGCAAGTCAAGCTCACAGTAAAATCAATGCTCAGGCTAATGGGCTTACTGTCCAAAATACTCGGCTGCACAATCTCTGCTTAACTTATTGTGATAAGCTTAATGTCACATATCTCTTCTTGCTCTATTGTATGGACTTAACCCTTTAATACTTAACTACTAGACCTGCTGCTTATATTGTCTGTTGCACTTCTTCAGCTTAAATAATACAGCTTGGGCTAATCCACTTATTCAGCTCAAAACTATTTCATCTTCTGAGCTTCTTCAAGTCTAAAGTTAAACTGCAAGATCAGCATTTTTCAAGCTTTCATCTTGGGTCACTTACCAAACTGCTCTATATTTGAGTTTTTAGTGATATCTACTGAGCTATTATAAGTGAAATCCCTGATTTCATAGTGATTAACCACCAAAATATGACTGAAATACTACAATATCCAATTATTTTCTTAGTGATATCCACTGAGCTCTTAGTGATATCTTCTGAGCTCTTTGTAATATCTCATGATCTATGTGAGATCTGAGCTCTTAGTGAGATCTCCTGAGCTCTTAGTGATACTTCCTGAGCTCTTTGTGATAGCTCCTGAGCTCTATGTGATATCTCCTGAGCTACTACTGATATCTCCTGAGCTCTATGTGATATCTCCTGAGCTCCTACTGATATCTCCTGAGCTCTATGTGATATCTCCTGAGCTCTATGTGATATCTCCTGAGCTCTATGTGATATCTTCTGAGCTCTATGTGATATCTCCTGAGCTCTATGTGATATCTCCTGAGCTCCTAGTGATATCTCCTGAGCTCTATGTGATATCTCCTGAGCTCTATGTGATATCTTCTGATCTCTATGTGATGTCTCCTGAGCTCTTTGTGATATCCCCTGATCTATGTGATATCTCCTGAGCTCTATGTGATATCTTCTGAGCTCTATGTGATATCTCCTGAGCTCTATGTGATATCTCCTGAGCTCCTAGTGATATCTCCTGAGCTCCTAGTGATATCTCCTGAGCTCTATGTGATATCTCCTGAGCTCTATGTGATATCTTCTGAGCTCTATGTGATGTCTCCTGAGCTCTTTGTGATATCCCCTGATCTATGTGATATCTCCAGAGCTCTTACTGATATCTTCCAAGTTCTTTGTTGTATCTTCTGAGCTCTTTATGATATTTCCTGAGCCCCTAGTGATATCTTCTGTCTAATATCAAAGAATTAACTCCCAACACAATTTACTGTAATGCAGCCATGCAGCTATTCTTCAGTTAGTTTTATAATAGTTTCTAATGACTTGTCATATTGACTTCTATGACTATGAGCAATAGTCAACCCTTACCTCAGATAACTATTTGAAATGTTATTACATAACACAACAAAAACATGATTGTTAATTTTTGTTAAAAAGACTACTCTAGAATCTCAATACAGAGATTTTTTTACAGGCTGATGTACATAATAGCTTTTTTCAGCATTTGTGGTCTCAAGTCTTGACATGTGAACAAAATTCTACCTAATAACTTAATTTACCCCACTATAAACTGAATTTTGTTCACATGACACCATTAAAAGCAGGGATTAATCGCCTATTATTTAGGAAAATTTCTCTCAACTTAAAATTATTAAACAAAATCAAACTATATATCCTTTTTGCATGGTACATACAGGATTATTTCTATAAGATATTGTTACAAATTATGTATCTGCATGAATGGTTATAATGTTCTCTTTTAAATAATTAAAAACTTTATGTAAATGCAATAGTCATCCTGCAGTGTCGTTCAATGTTGGGAAACCAATAGCCTATAAATTTCCAATACTCACAACATAGTGGATGTTCTAAGAAAATGTATTTTTTATAACATACATGACATACTTCGCTTCAATCCATAAATCAACATTGTTTCTAAATTAACCAGGTTCTTATGTACTATATTTTCTGACATAAATTCTCCTTTTCATTAGAGGTCATCAGCCTCTTATCATTTGGAAAAAAAAATGAGCACACCCAAAGTATTGATTGTCAAACACAGGAACAAGTGCTACAGATATTTTCTGGAGTTTTAAACTGTGACTTACATTTAGAATTGGCAGTCATGTGTTACTTTCTCTCAGTGCTGTATTAGTGTATATGTATTATTTATGGCTATTTATCATTTGAGGACATTACAATAAGTAAATGTTCCATTCCATAGTTTTTCCTATGAATATAGCATCCTCTCTAGGGGCAAAGGTTGATTTGGAAAGAGGTTTATGATATACAAACTGAAAGACTGCTTTAAACCAGTTTTTCTTTTTAAATTGTACCTTCAAAATGCTAATTTAAAAAAGGATGCAAAAAGGTGTGCTTTATTTTACATTGTATTTTATTTACCTTAATGAGTAAAGTAAATCAAAGATAGAGTATTCCTATACTAGTCTAAGTCAAGCTCCTAAACATCTAATCAATCTATTTACATGTACATTGTATCCAAATATTGTGCACAGCATTTTGCTATTAAAGTGAGAGGACATTAAATCTCATTCATCTGTCAGTCTGTCAAAAAAACTTTAACCTTGGTCATAACTTTTGAATGAGAAAAGATAAAGCTTTCATATTTAATTTCACATGTTCATTAGCACTCTGATTTTTTACCCTATAACCTTGACCTTGAAGTTTGACCTACTTTTCAGAAATTTTAACATTGGTGATAACATTTGACAAAGAGAAGATAGGGTGTTCATACTTGACATGTACAGTACCAGTAACAAGTCCAAATATACGATGGTTTTTGACCCTGTCACCTTGACCTAACATAAATGATTACTTTTGAATGAGAGAAGATAAGGCAATCATATTATACATGTGCATTACCTGTTACAAGACCTTTCTGAATGTACTATTGTTTTAATTGAGTGACCGCCTTAAAGTTTAACCTACAGTACTTTCACTTTTCAAAATTTTTAACATTGGTAATAACTTTTAAATGAGAGAAGATGGAGCTTTGAAATTCATATTTTACATGTACATTACCTGTGACAATACCTTTCACAGAAACAATTATCATTTAGACTTTAATACCTTGATCTAGAAGTTTTGCCTACTTCTCTAAAATTTTACTTCTGCTCCAGAAGAGACGAGGCTTTCATATTTTTTTTCACATGCCCATTACCTGTGAAAAGACCTTTCAGATTATATTGTGATACCTAACCTCATGACCTTGATCTTGAAGTTTCATGCAATTTTAAGAAACCTTAATTTTGGCTCTAACTTCTGTCAATTCAAAATTATAAATATTTTTTGTATGATGCACAGAAAAGACAGGACACACAAACAAGGCAGTTACAATATGCCATAAATAATTGCATCTGAACCACTAAGACACCAAAAGCGGAAGACTTCAATTGTTTTCTCTACAGTTTTCCTTTTGAGGCAAATAAACCTGTGAAAATAGAGGGTCCAAAAACTTTGTGAAAATAAGTGATAGTTCAAAATCATAAATTGTTAACTGGATGTAAATACATGTAATAACAAAGATATCATTTTGGCTATCTTTATTAAAGGTCTTCTTTCTTTTTTTTTCTTTGGCTTCATATCTAGAAATTTAGAGATTCCTTTGATACACCCTTTCTGTACTAAGGTCTCATACAATTAGGAGCAAACATATCCATCTAAACATAGGATAAACATTGGATTTGGCTGCACATTGGAACGTACTGCCATTTGTCTGAATCTTTCCTTTGCTCTAAGCATATTTTGTTCCACAACATTTATACCTATATTTCCATGAGATGCTACTTTTTTAACCAACTAGTGACTGTATGTCCAAAAAGCCACATTATCTATTACCTCTCAATATTTTCAATTTTAATTTTATTGTAATGAGAAGGTTTTGAAAATGTGTAATAGGAAATTAAAAAATTACAGGGCATGAAGAAATACACGTTAATATTAAATTGTTTGGTTTACCTAAAATTATAAATCTGAACAAACATTTCTAATTGAAAATGAAAAAGGATTTTACAACCAACCAAAAAAAGAGTTAAAAAAGAATCCATTTCGTAAACAATGCAAGACTGCAAAATGTTCGAACTGTGTAAATTTCCAAGTTTCTGAAGCAATATGGAAAAACATTTCCAGAAGTTTCCACAAAAGATATGTCTTGTGTTCCCCTGTTCTACAAATCAATCATGGCTGTTATCAAACCAAAAATGGTCAATAGTGAACCCAGGGACAGCAAAATAAGAAAATACATCAAGTACAGGTGGCAATTTAGAAAGAAAATATTTTTTTGAAGGGAGGGGGTCAAACATTGCCTTTTTTTATAGAAAACACTGGATTAAAAAAATTTCAGTTCAAAATTGAAAAATAAATCAAAGCTTTCAAAGCTAGGAAAATGAAAGTTTATTTTTTGGTCACTTACCTTTAACGTTTCGTAAAGTCGGATGATGTTCGGGTGACGAAGCTGGGCTAAAATTCTGGCTTCCCTGTGTAGATTCTGGCGAGAGTATTCTTCCTTAATTTTACGGGTATCAATTATCTTAATTGCAACCTAGTAAAATACAATAAACCTCTTTAATCTGTAAAACAGGAGGCACTGGGGTGACAATTCACAACAAGACGCTTGGATCAAGCTCGAGGTTGTATTGTACAATTTGAACAAAATTCGAAGGTAACGTCATATCTGCTCTCGATCATCGACAAATTTACCAAAGTAAAAAGGCGTGGTCGACGTCACATCAAATATAGGACGCGTGTGTTCAGTTCTCCATGCGAAAATACTATATACATGTATGTTTAATTTAAAACAAAGCAAAAATAATTGTTAAAATTATTTTGTGAAGCCGTGGTTTTATGAATAATTTGATATATTGCGGGTTCAGTACTTTGAATTGTATTTAAATGTGTTTTCCGTTTGATTAATATAGTACTACGATTATACAGCAAGTATTTTCTTTGATGCACAGTATATAGCAGGCTAATACATGTATACAATATATCAAAAATCCAATCCAATTTTTAGTTTATGTATAAAATGTTGTTCGATCTGTAATAAGAAAATAACACAACTCCTCTATATATCGGCATTTTTTTTAAATATTGTACATGCAGTATTGAAAGTTAAATGAAAACACGCACCTTGCATCCTGTTACACTGTGGGTCGCAAGCTCTACACGTGCGAAGCTGCCTTTGCCCAAAGTTTGGCAGTCCATGACGTACCGCCCCAAACATTGAATTTTCTTCCCCATGATTTTCTTACTGGGATCTTATATTCCATACCTGAAATAAATCCTGATCAAAACCGAAAAATCCGTCCTTGTTTTTATACGATGGCTTTAGTAATTTCGTATAAAAGGACATAATCAGCTAGTTTTATTTTCTGTTTGTGCTATACAATGTGAATTGTTACATTACAATTTAAGTGGTCCGCCACAAGATGACTATGCTAAAAACCGAAATGAAATCTCGCTGCGGATTAAAAAACTGAATTTCCATGCAACAATATTTTGAGAATCATCATGTTCCATTTCACATTTATTCATCTAAATACACCGAAAACACAAATTCCAACAGTTCGCATGACGTTTTGTGCGTCAATATCGAGTAATGTGTGCTTGTTGAATGCAGCATACCGCGGACTTTTCGGATCAATAGCGAACTAACACTATTCTTGAATCAGAATTCGATTTCCTGCGCAAAAAATAATGTCGATGCTTCTCATTTACACGGAGGACTTTCGAACCACTTGTTACCAAAACTGCAACCTTCTCAACCATTTTTGCATGTTCACGAGCATTTCTTTAATGCACAGTCATGTGACTCGGCGATTCATGAAAATTTTATCTGCATTTAATATGATAATATGGTAGATGGAATTGCGAAGCCATGACAACAGAGCATCAATCGGACTTGTTCGATTTTTTTCTATCGCCACATATTACATTGTACGTCTACTGTTGCATGAATAGTCAATAGTTCCAGCATCTGTACCCCAAGCGCGACTACTCAGTACTCTGCTAGCTGAGAACAGGCGACATTTTTAACACGTGTCCCACCGATACCTGGGGTACAACATCCGATACAATAGAGCGCATGGATTATTGATGAGCCGAAAGCTCGGGAGTAGCATAAGGTATAAACCTGTTTAGTGTCATAAAGTGGTATGTTTCATCGAATTTTGCAACACCTGAATTAACACAGTGTCTGTCGTTATCTAGACCTTAGCTAAAAAAGACTATACAATAAACGTTTACTGAAAGATCATCAAAGGCACAGATGGTGTTGTAAAATGCATGCTACCAACAAAGTTTATTTATTCTCATCCCAATTAAACCTTGCCGTTCTTTTAAGAAAAAGTTTGCACAATTTATGAAAAAAAAATGAAGCTGATACAAAAGCGCGCTTAGACTCGGTTGATATCCTCGTGGTCGTTATATTCAGCTCATACTGTAAAAGTACACCGTCGTTAAATGATGGCCATTTACAACAGCGCGTGAATCATTTGGAGAGAGAGAGAGATATTGCTCGCGTATAACTATAGGCTTGTACACAGCTTTTGTTATGTAGTTTTATATTCTCTTAATTCTAAAATTTTATTGTATTATAATTATGATTAGTAGACTTTTTCACTAGAAATAGCAACTCCATCCATGAAACCAGCTGTTGAATTTTCATTGCATCAACACTAGTATAATTTCAATTTTAAAATTATCAGTGACTTTTTTTGACAAGAATATTTATCAATTTTGGCAACCAGATATTTTGAGCATTTATAAAACAGTCATTAGAATTGCAAATATGAGGTCCATATAGATGTCAATCAAAAGTTTTTACATTGTATTATAAAGCCATTTAAAATGTATATTGTAAATGTACTCGTATGTCATATATGTAATTTTTGTTTATGTAGTTGCCTGACCGGTCAACCATATGGATAATATGCAAATAAATATTATATTAATACATGATTTGGAATACCTTACATGTGAACTGACGAAGTGTCGGGGCAGTTTTGACAAGAATGCCTCGAATGAGTCTTGTAATGCACTTGTATCTTCTTTCTACTAGAAATACTTATACATTTTTTAAAAAAGTAATTACTTTGCTTAAAGTAACCATAAATTTCATTAACGTTTTCGAAATGAAACCTTATCTACTTTGCAACAAATATAGCTGCAGAACTGTAACTCTCTGGTTGAGAAAACCTGCTTTTCCTGTCCGAATTTTCTCAATCAGAGAGCTACAGGTTAGTCTTCGTTAGATATGCTCATCTGCAAGTTCGAAACACAGGGGCCGGTGCCATTCTTAGGAACTCTTTTATATATAGTGATCAGATAAAATCTAGTATAGTATGTTCATGAAACCTTTAGTTCGAACTTGACGTCCAGTCAGTTGTACCACCCGTCTCTCCTTACGTTATCAATATTGGTGTCCTAAATGATGACCAGTTTGTTCCATAGGGGCTCAGTTTAAGGATGGATTTTGTGTATTGTTTTTCTATGTCTATCTAAATATATTGATTGTAATAAAAATCGATGAAATTCGCAGTTTTAAAAAAATCGTATTTCTTGTACATTAAAAAACAGAGAAGCTCTCTTTGAAATACGATTTTTAACAAAATGCGAATTTCAACGATTTTCGATTTTTATTACAATCAGTATATTTAGACAGACATAGAAAAACACACAATACACAAAATACACCATCCTGAAACCGAGTTCTACTTTAAATCCATCCATTATACTTTCAAATGAAGGTACAATAAACAACAACACACTATTATTTGGACATATCAACGACACGCGTAGCAACTTTATTATACAATGTATATAAAATATGTAAAATATGAAAATCCATAATTATATACATGTATATCGTAGTGTTGGAATGACTGAATATAGATAAAATTTAAACTTTTATTGTGCTCTACGTGTCGTCCTAAACTGGCATTTAACAACTATTCACTTAGATATAGCCTGGTTCTATAGAACCACGTGATATTAACCAGGTATTCGAATGAAAACCTTGTATTTCCGAACAAGTAATTCATTATAATACCAAGTAGAAAATAATTTCTGTCTAATTCGTTCCTCAAACGAAAGAAATCATATTCTAATGATTACAGGCCAATACAGTAACAAACATTATTTTGAAAGTACATGATCCGCTCACTGATGTACATTACCAGTGCAAACATGGAAACGAGGGAAAGAGACTTGAAACTCCTTCCGTGTTTTTATTGCACTTGGTGGTTGTAGGAGTAGAGTTATTTCTTTCATCATCAGACCTATTGCATCTTATTTTATGTGTTCAAGGCCTTATTTGCAGACGTATCAAATAAAGTAATCTTAGTTATGAAATATTAAATTTGACGCCTACAACTTATTATTCTATATCGGTTAGTCGACAATATTGGTGTGGGCATATTGTTGTACCGTCTAATGATATGCAAAGAAATGGCTAGCCATCCAGATCATTAGTGCTGAAGCTCGGTCACAAAGGATAGATATCGCAAGAACGAACATTAAGTTCAAGGGCGGATCCAGGGGGGGGGGGGGGGGGCTCCAGCCGCTCGACCCTATGTATGATTCAAGTAACAGCAGGTGTCTCTCTCGCCAGGCCTATAAAAAGTACAGTTAGTAAAGTACTGTTAACCTATTTAACAGTGAAAACTTGATTTTCTGACTGTTGAATTTTCAATTAAAGGAAATAATAATAAAGGGAATTAGCCTGACTCTTAGCTCTTCTTCCCCCAGAATCCAACGAGTACGATTTCAGCAACATTTTCTATTTATCACTTAAACTCTGCATTATGACCACTTTTTGACGATAAAAGTGCTGTTTGTAGTTATTTGTTAATGATAATTTAAATATATGTGCTGAGTTGAAAGCTCAAGTGAGCTACCGTGCATGATCACATTTCATCCGACGTCAGTCTGTAAATATAACATTTTCGACTTCTTCTTCATAACCGCTGGGTTACCACTAGACAAGAAAAGATGAAACATAGAAGAAATTCCTGATAAAGTATAGATTCAAGTTAATAGTATTCAAATTGTGGTCCCCAGGGGTAGGATGGGGTCATAATAGGAGATCAAGTTAATTTTAAAAAAACTTTATAAAGATTGTTCTGACCAACAGCAAGACGATGATGTCATATTATACTGGTAATATAGAAAGGCATCATCGAGTACATGTAGTATAGATTTGGGTTTGTTCAAATCAAAGCCCCCGAGGGCTGTTGAGGCCACAATAGGAGATCAAAGTTTTACATGTTAACTTATATGAAAAAAAAAATCTTTGAAAATCTTATTAAGAACAGTAGTCCCGTGATTAATCCTATCAATATGCCCGTAGGAAGCAATTTCAGTTTGAGGGGGCAAAATTTCTTGACAGCAAAAATAAAAAAGGATCAAATTATTGAGGGAGCATAAGCACGTAAAGTAGCTTTGTTTTTCTGTAGAATACTAGTTATAAATATCTTGAAAAAAAAAATTATTTCAAATAGCTGAATAACCCCGAGGGTAGGTCGGGGCCACAACAAATGTAATGATATGTAATAATAAAGCAAAATGTATTAATGAAGCAAAATGCAATAAAGAGGCAAAATGTAAAAATAGATAAAACACTTTAGCATCCCTTTTTGGGGGTGGAGAGTGGAGTATAGTATTTATCGCTGTTTTGACATCTTGAAATATGTTACCAAATTACAGGTCTTTCTCATGCTACCAATCATTTTTTGCATTATATTTCAGAATTACATAAATGCCTGGCCTTTTAACTACCTGGTATATTCTTTTTCCTTAGACACTTGCTTCTGTAATAATAAATTTTACTTATTTATTAGTATAACAGTAACACAATGAATCTAGCTCCGAATTACATGGAGTACTCCCTCTCCAAAATCGCAGACTTGCACTTTCATAGAAAATGCACTGGCAAACTGTTTATTACCATTCTCTTTTACGATAATTTATCTACAAAACCATATACGGCATCTTTGTCTATATTTTCTTTATCTCCGCAAACATCGTCAAAACTGGAAAGTCTCACCCATGAATTACTATGTACTAATCTTTGGCGGAGTATTTAGTTTGGATTTTGATTAGCTAAAAAACTGTTTCTAAAGTATCATCGGGAAAATACCGTAATGTTAAACGTAAAAAAAAGGCCCACCTGAGTCACTATTGACCGTACTGTTCTTCACTAGTAGATTTTTACCCTGTATACTTAGATCACATATTGTGGCCCCACTACCCCTGGGGGACATGATTTCAACAAACATGAATCTACACTACCTGAGAATGCTTCTTTATAAATATGACTAATTATGGCTTTGATGTTCTTGGGAAGAAGATTTTTAAAGATTTTTCCTGTATATTAATAAGTAAAGGTTTGATCGTCCATTGGGACACCACTCCCCCCCCCCCCCGGGGGGGGGGTCATGATTTGAACAAACTTAAATCTACATTACCTGGGAATGCATCCATATAAATATGAATAATGGTGGCTCTGCTGTTCTTGAGAAGACGATTTTTAAAGATTTTCCCTTTATATTCCTATGTAAAGCTTTGAATCTCTGTTGTGGCCCCACCCTACCCCCCGGGGGTCATGATTTGAACAAACTTAAATCTACACTATGTCAAACGCTTTCACATAAGTTTTATCTTTTCTGGTCCAGTGGTTCTTGAGAAGATTCTCTAAATCGCCCCACCCAATTTCACTATATTTCTTCTTGAAAGTGGGTTTGGCCCATAATCTAAACAAACTTGAATCCTCTTTAGGAAGGATACTCTATGCCAAGTTTGGTTGAAATTGGTGTGGTTCTGGAAAATTAGAAGA